CCCTCAAGAGGCGTGTTTTTAACAGCATCTTGCCTATATAAATTTAGCCAAAAGATAAAGACCTCAGAAACCAGAGGTTTTCTGAAGTACAAGACTTCTTCCCATCTCACAGGAACATAATCACCAGAGGTGAAATGAAAAATACTTCTTTTCTACCCCATGGCTTTGTGGTCTTTAATTATCTTTATATCAATGGGCAGCACAAGTATTATGTATCAAAACATTAGGTTGTAGGCAATGAAATGTGTATCATCTGGCAAACGAAATGCCAATGCACTGCTAATGTAACTTACATGAGATCAGACATGTAGTTAGCAATATATCTGGGATGAAAACCTAGGACCCTTGAGCCCCGGCCTAGTGATTGTCCCAGCATTAGACAAAACCAGCCATAGCTCAAAAACACCATACACATTGCTTTCACCTTCATGGCTCATCTATTTTTTGAAAATGAAATACTTTAAATTTCAAATTTCTAGACACCAAAGTGTAGACATTAATATAATTAATTAATATGAATGACAATAAATACCAAATATAGATGAAAATAGGACAATATAATTCATCATAAATAAATATACCAAAAATCAATGGTTCCTTTCTAGTTTGTTCTATGGATATTGTTTCCATAAAAGAGATTATATTTATCTACAACTTTCTATCCTGCATTTTCTCCTTAATATTATGAATTTTTAATGTAATAAATTATAAAATTGGCTCTTAGTCCTCATCTACAAATGATTATTTAAATGGATCTCTGCCTTTATATTAATTTTGACTTACTTTTTTTACCATAACTATGTTTATTATGTAATTATATGTTATCGATGCACATGAAAATAAAAATTCAAAAACAGTATTGAAAAGTAATGATAAAAATACAAATTACCTATCATCACCAGTAGCACCAAAACCAACAAGACCACCATTCTCAGTCCAAGTTGTGTTCTTCAATTAATAAATTTCTCTTTATTTTCATTCGAAAGGCAGAGTCATTGATGGAAAGAGACAGAGACAGACATACTAAGAGAGATCTTCTCTCTATTGGCTCACTCCCCAAATGACTGACACAGCTGGGGCTGGGCCACGCCAAAGCCAGGAGCAGGAACTCCAGCTGGATCTCCCACGTGGGTAGCACAGACCCAGGTACTTGAGCTATTAGCTGCTGCCTCCCAGGTGTGCATTAGCAAGACGCTGGAACTGGAAGCAGAGCCGGAACTGTAACCCAGGCACTCCTACATGGGACGCAGTATTCCCAGAAACATCTCCATCCCTGTGCCCAAAGCCCATCCTTCAGTCTGAATTCTTAAAGGCGAGTCTGGTTAATTGGTGCTGATTTCAGTTATTATGGTGGCTTCCTTCACAATCCTGGTGAAGGAGTGTTACAAGTATACCCCCACTCTGGGTCTATCAACTTCAAGTTGGCTTACAAACTGTCAGCTATAGAAAAGGAAGAGTTTCACTTACTAATGTTAGGCAGGAAGTTAGGTATGAGCTTATGTGTGTGTGACAAAGGCCTCCGGAGAAGACTTCTACGTCCAGCATATGCATCTACATCTCAAAGTTATCCCGATAATGCTTCAGGGGCAGCCCCGTGTTCCCATCCTGCCCTGCCCCCTTCTACCTGATAACCTGCCAGGGGGAGATCCCCGCCCCTTCTGCCTGACAAATCTTCCACAATCTCCCAGATGCAGCCCAGTATCTGCATTTCAAACACCCTGCTCCGGATCCCCACTCTCTAGGGGTCCTGCTCACCCTTCCTCTGAACCCAGGATGGTGCCAGCTAGGCTTCCTTCTGTCTGATACCTTCAAGGGAAAACTCAGATAGGAGCTTCTTAGTATTTACAGCCATAAAATCCTTTGTTTCAGGAGGAGATGTGTGAAGACAAAGACCCATCTCCTTAAAAAACCCTGGCCTCAACCGGACTGCGCGCTCAGCCCTCTGCCTCTCTGCTGAGCCGCCCGCCTGGCCTGGTCAGGTGTATTCTCTTTACTCAATCATGTAACCTTGCTCCTTACCCCCACCCCCCAGTTTCTCAGGCTCTGTCTGGAGGGGTGCCCATCCATCCTTACAGATGTCCCTTCCCTAATAAACCTTGCTATTTTACCTCCCACTACTCTCTGTCTCACGCCTGAATTCTTTCTTGCGCGAAGACAACAACCCTACAATTTCTCTGGTAACATTTTTGGCGACCCAGATGGGACTTTGAGAAGACATCGGAGGTCAGTATTCCTTCCCTCAAGCGGGACCAGATCTGTGGAAGTGACCGTTGAGAGTCCGGCACCCCACAGCTCTCCGAGAACCTGGAGGTCTCCCCCCCCCTCCCCCGGCCACGGCTTAGCTACAGCCAAAACTCCAGAGGGATTGTAAGGAATGGGAGGGAAATTAGGAAGGGCAGTTGGCTGAGAGCCTGGAGACCCCCTGAGCTCACTTTGGCTTCCTGGCGGCCGGACTGCGACCCGAGGACCAGGTCTCTCTCTTGGAGGGACGCCTGCTCATGCTGCCTACTGCTACGCGAGCAGGGCTTAGCTTCAGTCGAGGCTAATATTGGTCCTCCAGGTAAACTCAGACAACTAGGTAGTGGGCAATCTTGAGTGATAGGAGATTTCGAACCCCACTCAGCCCCAGACACCAGGGCCTTTCCCTGTGCTCTCTTCCAGCTGAGATTCCTAAGGGAAGGTGAGGGCAGTCGCTCACATCCTGTCCTCTGTGGCTTTCTGCCTTCCTCCTCCTCCTCCCCGGGGCTCCCTCCCCACTCTTTTGCTCTCCTCGTCTGCATACCTATACTGCTGGCCTGGAGAAAGGGAGAGGGAAATTCCACAGGTCTCTCCACTTAAAGGAAAAAGCTGTTACCTGTTAACCCTTTCCAAACTGGTAGAAAGTTTTCCGTCTTTGCAGCTTATGGCAGCCCTGGTGCGTCTTAAAGTTTTTGTGAACTATTACTGTTGCTAAGCTTTGATTGCCTGAGGACTCAATCTGGAAAGGAGCTAAAGTTAACTATCTGTTTTAATTGACTGTTTGCAGTAGTCCTGATTGATCTGGCTTTGGTTGAATTATAGGAGGTTCCCAGCACTCGTGGTCAAACGGCGCACCTACCAACCCCACGGGGGTCCTGCCAGGCCCCGGTGTGCGCAGTCTTCTGTAAATGGGGGGACCACAGCCTTTCTCTGCACTCTATTCCAGTCCATGTGGCCTGCCGCACTCAGGCAGGCAGAGCCAGATATCTCCAGGGAGAGCGCCCCCCCCCCCCAGGGCTGCTTTTTTTCCTCGCCAGGAGGGATTTCCAATTCAGTACTACTGCTGGCCTTACCTAAGGGAGGGAGAACCGTAACCCCTTAACTCTTTCCAACCTGATAGGTTTTTCTCTTTGCAGTTAATGGAAACCTAAGCAATGGGTCCATATGCTGATGAGCAGCTCTTTTCCATGCTGCTGTCCCTGACTTAGCTGATAAGAGTTTTCACGTGTCTTGAAGGTTTCGTGTTTTTCTATTTGTAGTACTGAGACTACGTTATTTGTCTGTTTTTAATGTTTGAGTGATTACCCAACTGATCAGAAATGTTCCAATTTTGGCTAAATGGTTTGACTCTCTGACAGCTTAAATTCTATACCGAGTCTTCCAACTTTGGGCTTCCAGTCGGATCCCTGGAACTCTCAAAGGATGAGACTCTAAATTTGTTAAAGTAACGGCTGCTTGAGTCAATTCAGATTATGTGAAGTGTATTAAAATGTTGTAAATGGTGTCAGATCTATGCTGTATTCATGTTTTTGCTTTCCAGCTAGAGTGGTCATATGAAAATGAGAGTAAATTCTGTGTATACAAGCCTTTATTTTGTTAACTAAAGTAAGCCAATACAGATGGGTTCAGAGAATTGAGTTTAATGCAAATGCCCTTCGGTTTTGCTCGGTTTGCTGGGTGGCTCACTTGCTCAGTTTTACATGTCTTTGATATGCTTTAAACTTGTTTCTCTTAACAATGAAGCTCTTTTCAAAGTTGTAAACATGCACTAGTGTCCCTGTTGCTGCTCAGGTGTTATCCTTATGTTACTTAAAAGCATGGGAAATGTAATTTTGACTTTTAATTCAGATAATGGTGTGGCATTCATTAATAACTGTTTTAAGTTATCTAGGCATCGGTGCTAAGTAAAACTTGGGAAAATGTATTATGTGTACTTTTAACATCTCAAATTTGATAAGAGAGACTGTTTGAGTTTGTTAGCATGTATTCTCATAGATTGTCTATACATGACAATTCAGGACTATGTAAAAGTAACTATGGGTGTAAAGTTTCGGAAGGTGTGAGCAAGTCATGAGAAGTTTTAAAATGTTTACGATTTTAAAATATTGTTTACAGAGTTGAGTGCTAATGCCAAAATTACACTGACCTAAAGTTGAAGTCTGATCTTCTATTATAACAATGGGGTTTTTTGAGAAAAAAAAAATGTGCACTAATGTTAATAAATATCTGGAAATGGTCTAAATCATAAATCTTGAAATCTGTTTTTGCAAAAACTGTAATGTCTATTTTAACAGTGTCTGCTTAATCGGTTACTCTGCCATTTCTAAAGTTAGGTCCTATAAGCTCTTTTAGACTCTGTTAAATAATTCTGAGTTATGTAATGATTTTGTGTGCTAACTCTAATGTTCAAGGTTTTTATTTCTGGTTTATTCGACAACAAGAGACATAGAATTCATGTTCTGCCAAAGTAATCTATTGTGTACTCTACTGTCTCTGTTATTAGATCTGGTCTAAAAGTGTTAAAATCACCCTAAATTAATGGCTATCATTTCAGGATGTTAAGGAATTCTATTTTGACCAGATACTCTAAGTTCTCTTGGCACCTTTAACAGACTTTCTGAAAATCAAGTTCTAAATTCTCTGGACTTTTGGTATCTCCAGAGGGCCCCTGGAGATGTCGAAAGATATATCTCTCATCTTGCAGAGATAATAACCAATCGGGCTGTTTAGATTAAAAGTGGTGCCAAGATGTGAAATGATGCTAAACTTCAGTTATAAACGTGTTTCTTTCTAGCTGCTCCAGTCTCTGGCTCAGAAGCCAGATCCTTTAAAGAGGGACTGACATAGTCTCCGTCCAGCTAACGCTGAATAACCAGGTAATGCTAGTTCAAATGTGGATCAAACGGGAGGTCTAGCCAAAAGGGAGAAAGTGTTCCAAAAGAGACTTAGAGACGACGGAAGATGGTTATGCGGCAGATGGTAGAGAACTGGGTTCCAGGAGCCCAAGAAAGCTCTAGTATCCACGGTGAAAGCCCGGGAGCCCCAAAACCTAAACTTATGGGTTACACGGTAATACTAGTTAAACCCGGAAACCCAGGCCCATAACCCACTGGCTACACGGTAAATATCCGGAAGCCAAAGGATGGCAGAGACCTCTGCCATAACTTCTCCTCTAAGTCAGGCCACGCAGTAAGCACTGGTCAAACGCCAGTTAAATCTGAAAGCCCAGGAAGTCAGGCTAGAGACCCGACTCGCTGCCTCACGTCTCCTCTTTTCTCTTCCAGAAGGGAAGTTACTACCGTTCTGCAGGACTCTCCACTGTGACGTACGGTTTGATCCCCAGACCTTATGTAAGGGATGACTGACCTTTTCTGTAATAATGCCTGGCCACAGTACAGAGGACCAAACAGCACAGCCAGAATGAGAGGTTAAAATGTGACAGCTAGATCGATTTTTCAGTGTACGCGGTAAATGGGCAGAACTTCCCTTTTTAACCAAACTGAGGGATAGATAGGAAATTGCACTGATGACCTCAAAGTATACAAAAGCAGGTCACCACAGTTGATCTTACCTAAAAGGTCATAGTTCTCCTCATGGGCACGGTTTTAACTCGCAGGAAAATACTAAGTGTCAGAATTTGCCCATGACCATAGTTTTCTATGGTCTCACCCTGATATTAAAGAAAAAAAATCTTCAAAAATCAGGGTTGGGTTGAGCACCCCCTTGACTGGCATCATAGAGGCTGCCTCCATGTTCTACTTTATCAGAGACCAGGAGAATGAGGAGCAAGCTAGTAGCAGGAGCGATGTAGGGATAGGCAACAGGCCAATCAATGGCTGCTTTACACGGTGATCTGCTGTCAAGGAGACCCAGCAAGGCCAGTGCACCCCAAACAGCACCTGTTGCTGATATAAGGAGCCAGGGCATTGGGCAAGCAGCTGTCATGACAGAAACTGCCTTCTGTCAGCTCTGCCAAGAGCACAGCCACTGGACACGGAACTGCCCTGGGTGTCGAAGGACTCCTGGTTCAGAACCACAGACTTTGTGGCCCCAAGCTAAAAAGCCTTTGGCTCTGCCCAGCTTCCAGCTCCAGCCACTGCTGTTGAGGGGATGGCCTAGGGTCAGTGAAATGTAAGTTGCCTAATTCTATCAGCCTCCTATTCAGCTCTCCTCCTAGTCCAGCCATGTAATACAAGTCAACAGGGTGCCTCCCTTAAAGGAGATTTGCATCTCTTGCAATTCTCTTCCAGCACCCCATGGATAGGTCTGGGCCTCACACACCCAGCCAGGCCTTAAAAGTCTATCCAATAGCATTAAGCTTAAAAAGCCCTCCCTGCCAGTTCCTAAAAACAGGGCTTTTAGTAACAGCTAACTCAGATAGTCCTGCACCTATTTGGACAGGTCCTCACTGAGGACTTAAGGGCCTATCTCTTGAGGGAGGTGCACAATAATCCATAATGTAGATGGTTAAATGTAAATGATTTGTTGGTTTGTCTCTTTTCCCAGCCTGAGACTCTAATCTTGTACATTGGCTTAACTTCCTAGCAAAACTAGCTACTAGGTATCCAGAGGAAAACAAAGCATTGCACTGTTCAATTCCTCTGTTCTCTTTTTCTTATCAATTTTCTTGTATTATATCTAGATTTTCATTGCTGTTATCATTTTAATAACTGCTTCTTTATTCATTTAGAAGGAAATGAGCTCATTATTTACCAACTTGATTAAATGCAACTGGACTGCATTTCTTAACCTCCTTTGCTGTGTGACTAAGAGGCGAGTGAAATATTGTACAAATATATGCCATGCTCACACTCAGCCCATAGAATGCCCAAGGACACTTGCTTAGATGTCTGTGGTTTCTATCCTATTCTAAACTTGGGGTTAAAATATTAAGAGATGATGGATCCTTACATTTGAAGGACATAGGTTCCCCAACTCACATCTTAAAAGAAACCTGCTAGATGTCCTAAATAGCACTCTGGCCTCAGAATCAGCCCTAAAGGCATTCGGATCTGGCTGAAAAGCCCATGAGAGTATTTCAGGCATGGAAAGCCAAGACACTCTGGCAAAAAGATCTCTGTGAGTGAGATCCCAGTGGAAAGAACAGGTCTTCAAAGAAGGAGGTACCTTTCTCTGAAGGGAGGAGAGAACCTCCGCTTTGACTATGACCTTGTCTAAACAAGATAAGAGTCGGAGAACTCAGGGCTTCCATAGCCTTGGCAACTCATGACTGGAGCATAGGGAGATTACTGATGCCATAGACAGGAGTGTCAATTTGTAAAGTCAACAACAGGAGTCACTGTGCACTTACTCCTCATGTAGGATCTCTGTCCTTAATGTGCTGTGTATTGAGATTTAATGCTATAACGAGTACTCAAACAATATATTTCACTTTGTGTTTCTATGGGGGTGCAAACTGTTGAAATATTTACTTAATGCATATTAAACTGATCTTCTGTAAAAAAAAAAAAGAAAGAAAGAAATTATCAATTCCCAACTTGACTCTCACTGGGATTAAACATGACAATAGGTCTGATCTGATTTCATCATCGTTTAAAAAAATCATCTATTATTTTTCACTTTATGTTTCTGTGTGGGAGCAAACTGTTGAAATCCTTACTTAATGTATACTAAGCTGATCTTCTGTATATTAAGATCATCGAAAATGAATCTTGATGTGAATGGAAGGGGAGAGGGAGTGGGAAAGGGGAGGGTTGTGGGTGGGAGGGACGGTATGGGGGGGAAGCCATTGTAATCCATAAGTCGTACTTTGGAAATTTATATTCATTAAATAAAAGTTAAAAAAAAAGAAACCTGCTAAATAACTGATTTTGCTGTGAGTGATCAAGCTAGAAGGAGCTGTTTTGTTAAATGATTGGGATTCTAGGTTTTAATTCCTACAGTAGGTGAAGTTACAGTGAGTGGTGTATCCATCAATTTAACATTGCATTTCCTCACTACTCATCTGTAAAATGAAGACTGCAATACATCCTACATTTACCGCCTGTGTTTTACCATATGAAACCTACAATTTGTCTTATATCATCGGGTTTGCAGGATTTACTTGCTATTCTGCAATTACAAGGAAACCTAACAACATATTTGAGAAACTGAAAATGCATGAAGAACATTTCAAATATGAGGATTACAGGAATATTATTCCTCGTGGAATTAAGTAGTGTGATCAAAGCATAGAGAAGATATAATTTAATAATGTGAGTAATTTAATATTGTTTGAAAGAAAATGTCCCTAGCTTTAAGGTCAAATGGATCCACTTTGCATAGACACAATAGAGGATAAAGTGAAAAACATAAGCAGCAGTAAAAATACTCAATAAAAAGTTGAGTAAATAGTCCTAAACAAATATGAACCAAATTGCATTCATTTCAGTGACTTTGAAAGACTCAACTTTCCTGATTTTGTTTGAACTTGTGTTTTCCAGATCATGACATAGTGTGCCTGTGTTTGTTCATGGGCCATTTGAATGTTTCCTCCCTGAATTGCTTAATTGTATCACTTACCCATTGTTCTCTTCCATTCTTTGTCTTTGATGTGGTGACTTGTGGAAGCATTTTAGATAGTATGCATGGCTAACCTTTCATTTTATGGCTAGTAACCCTCTTCTCTCAATGTCTGACTTCTCCCCCTGCCAGCTTAAAAACAACAACAACAACAACAAAACACTGATTTCTTGTGATGCTCCAGTGGTTTTCCTTAATCTTAATCCAATTTAGTAACTTTTATCCTGTGTGCGATTTGTGTCCTTTTTGATAGTCGTAAAGATGTTTGTCTATTTTCAGAAAGTTTTAGTCTCCACCCGTCTTTAATTGACCGGGATTTTACTTCTGTACAAATGCTGAAGCATGGCTATGATTCTGTTTTCTCCAATGGGTAAGCATGAGTTAGTATCAGTGGTTTTGCCTCTCTCCCTGGTCTCAAAGCCACCTTCTCAGACAGGGGCAGGGCTCACTGCTCTACAGGGAGAATGGCTTGGTCACAGTTCTATCCACTTCACAAGCCGGTTGCCTCATTCTTATCCTATTTCTGTGCACTGCTTCACTGGCAGAGGGGGTTAGAGGACCGGATCTATTTCTAATGAGCAGCCCTCACCTGTTGACATCTTCGACGGCTGCTCTGCAGTCATGGTTTGCACTAACAGGATGTACTTGTCAGTATGATCCTCCATTCCTTCTGCTTTAGAGAAATCTGTCAAAATCTTAGCTTCTTGCCCTATTGCTTGTCAATGTCATGTAGTCCTTTCCTATTTCTTTACTCTTATAAATAGCTATGGGGAAAGAGAGGATTTAAACATATAAGTTCTGGTCTCCATCTTATCTATGTCAGTTATGAATGTATCAGAATCTGCACACTATTGTGAATATGCAATCTAAGGGAAATAGTTATTTCCAACTTTTCACTATTATAAATAAGACACCAGTCACTGTTAAGCAGTTTAAACCTCTGTTTTTTTAAGAACATCTTAACTATCTATTTTGCTGAATTTCCTAATGAATGTGTTGGATATCTTAATATATGAAGTACATTAACACAAGGAATTTTGTGCAAATATTTTATCACATTTTGCTTTATCTTTATTTACGTTTGACATTTTTAAAGATTTGTTTTGTTTTATTGTATCTTTTTTATTTGTATGCAGGGAAGAAATTTCATGTATTTCATATATACACTTTGAAGAACATAATGATACTTCCCACTCTACCATTCTTCTCTCCCAGCCTCCCTCCCAGCCTCACTTCTCCTTCCTGTCTTATTTCTCTTTTAATTTTTTCAATGGCATACTTTTAATTTATTTTATAATCACAAGCTTAATCCTCCACAAAATAAAGAATTTAACAAAGTAAGTAGGAAAAACACTGTTTTTCGGGAGTATAGACAAGGGCTGTGGACAATAATCAAATCTCAAAATGTCAATTTCACTCATATACATGGCGTATTTTGCACTCTGTAGTTACCAGAACTCAGTGCAAACATGTATTTATCTTTTTGGGACTGTCTTATTTCATTAAACATAATTGTCTCCAGTTGCATCCATTTTGTTATGAAAGACAGGATTTCATTCTTTTTTATGGCTGAGTAGTATTCCATCATGTGTATATACCACAATTTCTTTATCCAGTCATTCATTGATGGACATCTTGGTTGATTCCATATCTTAACCTTTGTGAATTGGGCTGCTATAAACATAGAGGTACACATAACCCTTTCATGTCATTTAATTTCCTTAGCTAAATTCCCAGGAGTGGAACAGCTGGGTCATATGGAAGATCTATTTTCAGATTTCTGAAGGATCTTCATACTATATTCAAGATTTATTTATTTATTTGAAAGGCAGAATGACACAAAGATGCAGACAGAGGAAGAAGGAGTGAGAGAGAGAGAGAGAGAGAGAGAGAGAGGTGTCTTCCACCTGCTGGCTCATTCCCCAAATGCCACAACAGCTAAGGCCAGGAGCCTGGAACTCCATCTGGGTCTCCCACACGTGTAGCAGTGATCCAAGTTCTTGAGGATTTGGCTTCTTACCAGGTGCGTTCGGAGGTCATTGGATCACGGTGGACTACCCAGGACTTGGACAGCACTGCAATGTAGGATTTATGAATCCCAAGCAATAGCTTAACGTGCTCTGCCATATGCCTATCCTAATATTTTATTTTTTAAAATTTTTATGTTTATTTGAGAGGCAAAGAGACAGAGACCTCCCATTCACTGGTTCACCTCCAAATGCCTGCAACAGCGAGGGCTGAGCGGTAGCTGTATCTCTTATGTGGGCTGCAGTTTTCCCAATCACTCTGCCAGTAATTGGTGGGAAGCTGGAATTAAGAGCTAGAGCCAGAAACCAAACCCTGGTGTCCTACATGCATCATTCTTTATTTTTTTAAAGACTTATTTATTTTATCTGAGAGAGAAAGGGAGAGAGAGAGAGAGAGAGAGATTCCATCTGCTGATTCACTCTTCAAATGACTGTAGCTTCTTCTGGATCTCCCATGTGGGTGCAGGAGCCCAAGCACTTGGCCATCTTCCACTGCTTTCCAAGGTGCATTAGCAGAGAGCTAGATCAGAAGTAGAGCAGCTGGGACTGGAACCAGTGCAAATATGGTATGCCAGCACTGCTGGTGGTAGCTTTCTCTGCTAAGCCACAAGCCCAGCCCCTACACAACAAGCCTCTTAACTGGTGTCTAAACTGCTATGCTAAATGCCTGCCTCCTGCTTTTTATTTAAAATCTATACTATGTTTATCATCTAGTGAAAATCCAATAATTGTTTCTTTGTGATAATTTTATTACTTTATTCTCAGAATGATGTTTTTAGTTAATAGGCATTTGTGTTCATTTTCTTAGTTTTTAAAATACAGTATTATCTTTTTATCATTTTATATTTAGCTACTTAAATATATCTGGAACTAAGTTGAAATGTGGTGAGGCTATTAATTGCACAGTAAATGACATAAAATTTAGTTATAATATTGAGAAATGTTGGTCATTCCTTAATCAACTTGTTTGTGAAATCTTAATTTATATCAATTTTTCTGTAAATATTTTAATAAAATATGTAGGGTAACACATAATAATAATTTAGAGTGCTAATTTGTGAAGATGAGCTCGAGTAAGCAGGGAAACAAATAATTACCCATGCAAAGGTGACAGATTTGCAGGTTAAACAGATGTTCTAATTCCATCTCTGTTCAGGAAAGCTGTAGCTGTTTATCTCTTTCAGAGTGAGGATTAACTTCTTGGGACTTCATGTAACCTCTTCTGTTAAGGTACCACTGGATTGGTTTGAGATTATGTCAGAAAGACTACCCTTGGTAGCAGTAGCAATGATAATGTTCATTTAAAATTTATCTTCATTAGGCATTTGGATAGAGTATTCTGGCATGATCCCTCGGCCGGCGACGTGGCTCACTTGGCTAAACGTCCCCCTATGGCGCCGGCACACCGGGTTCTAGTCCTGGTTGAGGCACCAGATTCTGTCCCAGTTGCTCCTCTTCCTGTCCAGCTCTCTGCTGTGGCCAGGGAGTGCAGTGGAGGATGGCCCAAGTGCTTGGGCCCTGCACCTGCTTGGAGACCAGGAGGAAGCACCCGGCTTCTGGCTTCGGATTGGAGCAGCGCGCTGGCCGTAGTGGCCATTTGGGGGTGAACCAACGGAAGGAAGACCTTTCTCTCTGTCTCTCTCTCTCTCTCACTGTGTAACTCTGACTGTCAAAAAAAAAAAAAAAATCTCAACCCCTCAACTTCATTACCATTATCATTTGGCGATGCAAGTGAGGATTTTTTCTTTTGATTTAAAAGTAAATCTTGGGGCCAGCTCTGTGGGTAAAGCTGCTGCCTGCAATGCCAACATCCCATATAGGCAGCGGTTCAAGTCCCAGCTGTTCCATTTTGATCCAGCTGTCTGCTATGGCCTGGGAAAGCAGTGGAAGATGTCCAAGTTCTTGGGCCCCTGCACCCACGTGAGAGACCCAAAAGAAGCTCCTGGCTCCTGGTTTCCAATCTGCCCAGTTCTGGCCATTGCAGCCACTTGGGGAGTAAATCAGCGAATGGAAGATCTCTCTCTCTCTCTCTCTCTCTCTGCCTCTGCCTCTGCCTCTCTGCAACTCTGCCTTTCAAATAAATAAATAAATCTTAAAAAAAAAAGTAAATCTTGGTTTTGGCTGCAGTGTGTTGCCTATTTCCATGTATACGAGGATTTCTTGAGTTGCACTCACTGCAGGTTGATAACACAGGGTGATTTGTTGGTCTACAGGGAGACCACAGAAACCAAGGGCTTTCTGGAGCAGATCCCATCTTTGAGAGTGAAGCTGTTCAGATACCAGTCAAGGGCCAGCATCCCAGGTCCCTATCAACCCTCACAGCAGCGATCTCAGACACTTACTTTCTCTGCATGGTCAGGCTTCTTGGTTTTGTGCCCAGCAGACTAGAATCATAAAGTTATGAAAAATAACATTTTTTGAGAGGTTCCTCTCATTCCTTCCAGAGTTTATTTCTTAGAACTTTGCTGTCACTCTTTAGAAGACTTACTGCAAGAAACTGCTCCCCGGTATCAGTAATTCAGATTGTCTACAGATGTCAGACGTAGCACCCAAAACCTTGCTCAACTCGAGGTTATTGTGTACTGAGTAGATAAGGAATTCACATAAAAGTGATATCTACATCCCCAGAAGCCTATTTGAATTTCCTCAGACCTGGAAACAGAAAATGTTTTCAGGATCCTCTTGCCTCTGTGGCTCAAGCAAATCCATTTCGGGGATCAGGGTACAGCAAATGGTCTCCTCCAGGAAGACGGATAGAAACAATAAGAACTGCTGTCTCACCAGCATTTTTCTAAACAGAAGAAAAAGACGCATGGAAGGAAGAGAAAAACCTGTGTGTGGAGGATCAAGGGAGAAAAAGGACTGGGGAGAGGAATTCAAGGCGTTTGGATTAGGACTGCCTTTGGGCAATAAAGGAATCACAGAAGCTTCATGCCCTGACATCTGACTTTGACTTGACTTTGACCTGGGGTCAACTACTACCTGTGGCAAGCAAGTTCACTCAAAATAACAACAAATGAACAGAAACCAGTACAAAGGACATCACACTCCTCCATCATCTGGGCCACTGAAAAATTCACGTAGAAAATCTTAGACACGAATCCACCAAGAACATGGCAGTTACATGTGGCACTGAACCGCCTCTGTACATCTCCGTGGATAACATGAAAGTTATGGTTTTGTGACCTTAAGAGAGGAGCTTGGGAATCTACACCTGTAATAGGGATTCAGTCACATAGCCTCAACAGCTTCTCTGACTTCAAACATCCTGGACCTCCACATTGCATTTTCCTGCCATCACTTACAGCCCTCCCACCCTCCATCCCCTCTGACAAGTAAACTCGAATGTGAAAATCAAGAAGTGGATGGCTTTAGCTTTTATATGTGGGCTACCCTCTCTGCAGTCCTCTGGGAGGTTGAGCTCTTCTAATGCAGGGGGGATGTCTGCCTCTGCCCAACAAATCATCTAACACTTCATTCCCCAGAGAAAATTTTATTTTAAATAGGATGTTCCAGAAGGAAAATCTCAACCTAGGAAGATATCATTAATAAGGATAAATATTTAGAGGAACTTTGGAACAACCTGTAATTGAGCTCAAACTTTGCAGAAGGTCATGGGTTTAGGTGATCTGGTAGTGGCAACTAACTTTCTTTTGGAAATTATTTGTTCTAGATAATTCATTGCCCAGCATCCCTGACTCATCCACCCTACTGGAGCCATTTACACTTGAGAGCCTTTCTATTCTGGGATATTACACGCTATATGGAGGATAAGTGACATTTTCAGAGTAACAGTCTAGGTCAAGTTAGTAAGATTCCCACTTGTGGGCTGGCATTGTGGCACAGCAAGCAAAGCTGCCACCTGCGATGCCAGCATCCTACAAGGGCTACAATGCGGGTCTCCGCTGCTCCACTTCCAATCTAGCTCCTTACTAATGGCCTGGCAAAAGTAGCAGAAGATGTCCCAGATACTTGGGCCCATGCACCTGCATGGAAGACCTAGATAAAGCTCTTGGCTCCTGGACACCTAGGGGGTTAACTAGTGGATGGAAGATATCTTTCTCTCTCTCTCTTCTCTCTCTTTCCCTGTAACTCTGGATTTTAAATAGAAATAAACAAATCTTTTTTTTTAAGACTCCCACTTGGAGCCATATATTAAATCCCAGTACTGGTTACAGCATAGGCTGGCTATGTTATTAGAACTTAGGTTCTAATAAGAGAGTTTATCACAAGGTAATGATCATAGGTATGATAGGCGCTTTTCTTACTGTAGGATTTGTTCTTCAGCCATGATGCCAATTTCCTACCTCCTTATCATTGTCACAAAATTAAGTTTTAAACCCTAGACAAAATAAAAATAGCAGTTGATTATGACTTAAGATTTTAATAACTTAGAAATATCAAGGACATGTCACAGGGTAGAAGTCCTAGTTCTGAGAGAGGGAGAGAGACAGAGAAAGACTGATTAGAAGAAATAAGTTCTAGCGTGCCACTGCACAGGAGCGTGACTATAGATAAGGCTGTACCGACTATTCCAAAGAAGGCTGAAAGAAAGGATACTGAATGTTTTCAACACACAGAGACAGTGAGAAGACGGATTAAAAAAGGCAGGAAGTACAGACATTTGGAATTTCTTGGAGAGAAAATAGATGGCAGAAAAGTAATACTGAGAAAAAGTCCTTTCCATTTAAATTTTTATTGTGTCTAGGATAAACACGAGATAGGCAAATGGCTCTTTCTTTCTCCTAATTCTCCTTGAGGATACATGAGGGGGCTTCAAATTCATGGAATTTGGAATTGAAAGGTGGGCAGTTTAAATTTTCCAAAAACTTTTTGAAACCCTCTCATGTTTTTTTAATTATTTCTTCCCATTACCTCTTAGGCTGATGATATCACAATCCTTTTGGCCCAATTAATTAGATTTGTTCTACTGTGTATCAGTATTACTGTTAAGACTGAAATAAGAATATAAGAAAATATTTACTCCTGTATAGAATTTTATATGTTTTATTAAAAATTTCATGACTCATTGTTAAATCAATAACAGGAGTCACTGTGCACTTACTCCCCATATAGGATCTCTGTCCTTAATGTGTTATACTATGTGAATTAACGGCATAACTAGTACTCAAACAGTACTTTGTGTTTCTGTGTGGGTGCAAACTGTTGAAACCTTCACTTAGTATATACTCAATTGATCTTCTGTATATAAAGATAATTGAAAACTAATCTTGATGTGAATGGGATGGGAGAGGGAGTGGGAGATGGGATGGTTGTGAGTGGGAGGGAGGTTATGGGGGGAAAAACCGCTAAAATCCTAAAGTTGTACTTTGGAAATTTATATTTATTAAATAAAAGTTTAAAAAAATATCATGACTCATTGAGGGCTTGGTTCATCAGTCATCCTACAGTCTTAGGAATTCCGAGTTCTCTTCCAACTTAAAGGTCCCATGAGTCATCTGTCAATGCCAGATACGATCTTCTGTGAAACAACGATGACATTTCCATTTCTTATTGAAATACAAGAATAATGTGGACAAGACTTCAAACTGTGAGATGACAAGCTTGGTACTTGCCCAGCTGATGTCAAACAGAGATGTTTTTATGGCATCAACTCAGCTAATTTTGCTTACAGTATCAGCATGGGGTGGTGAGTAAAGTGACCCAGGACTTCACTGGGATGCCACAAATCTTCTCTAGTCATCCACTGGGATTCCTTCTGATAGAAGCTCCTTGAAGTCACTGGGACTCCCTAGGTTGCAAACACATCCCCCAGAGATAGCGAGCTGGAAAAGAATACTGCCTACACTTCATCTGAAACCTTTCACACCACTTATCTCACTTAGCCCTCAGAACCATCTAGAAAAGAATGCCTCTGGGAATATCACACAACAGTCTGATATGAGGAAGTGGTTTCAGAGAGGTGACTTGGCAAAGTGCATATCCTCAGTGGGAAACAGATGCAAAGCCAGAACACAGGTTTTCTGGTGCTGCCCCTGCCCCCTCCAAGCCAAGTATCAAGCAACAGCACTTTGTTGTAAGTTTGTCTACCGTGTTATCTTCAGGAACTGCAAATCCCTGAGCAGGAAGGCAAGCCATGATCCTTCATCAAGGGAGGGGCTGCGAGACCTTCCCAACTGAAACATTCTTCTGAAATGTCATTGCAGATGCAGTATCACTGGGAGTTCTCGAGATTATGAACCGTTTAAGAGCAAGCATCTGGCCGGCACCGCGGCTCACTAGGCTAATCCTCCGCCTTGCGGCGCCGGCACACCGGGTTCTAGTCCCAGTCGGGGCGCCGGATTCTGTCCCGGTTGCCCCTCTTCCAGGCCAGCTCTCTGCTGTGGCCCGGGAGTGCAGTGGAGGATGGCCCAAGTGCTTGGGCCCTGCACCCCATGGGAGACCAGGATAAGTACCTGGCTCCTGCCTTCGGATCAGCGCAGCGCGCCAGCCGTGGCGGCCATTGGAGGGTGAACCAACGGCAAAAGGAAGACCTTTCTCTCTGTCTCTCTCTCTCACTGTCCACTCTGCCTGTCAAAAAAAAAAAAAAAAAAGCAAGCATCAAGCCAGTCAGTCCTCAATCATTTTTCGATGTCTGTTTGCTGCTACGAACTTTGCTGCCTTATAGGGACATACAGACATTATCAACAGGTGGAACTAAATGAAGGCTACAATTTGGTAGGTGACAAAGTGGTCACAGCTACTTCTGGACTACTAGAAAGCAGAGAGTTAGTCTCAAAAGAGAATAAACAACTCATCCAAAAACATTAAATCTGATTTTAAAAGTAAGCGTAGGGTCTGAACAGATTATTTTTTCAAAAAAGATACAAGGATCTCAACATCACTAATCAACAAGGAAATGCAAATCAAAACAATGGCATATCACCTAATGGTTTTTGTAAAAAATAAAAAAGATAACAAGGGTTGGAAGAGATGGGAAGGTAAAGGAACACTAGTGGTAGTACTGTAAATTGGGGAAATCATGGGAAATCAGATGAAGTTTCCTAAAAATACTGAAAATACAGCTACTATATTTGATCTAGAAATTCTACTTCTGAGTATATAACCTGAGAAAATAATATCACTATCTTGGACAGATAATTGACTCCCATGTTTACTACATTATTCATCACCACCAACTTATAGAAACAATCCAAGCATACACTTATAGGTGAATGGATAAAGAAATCAATAACATAAAATGGAATATCATTTAGCCTTTAAAAGGAAGAAAATCCTGCCATTTGGAAAAACAAGGGCAAACTTAAAGGACATCATGCTAAACAAAATAACCCTGGTGCATAAAGATACATAATTCATATCTTGCTGAGTAGAAAGTTGTTTAACAGGAGTTAAGGGGTAGGTAGAATGAGGAGGTCTTGCAGACATGAGATGCACAGGCTATGGGATCCACTATAGAGTATGGTGGGTATAGTTAGTAATAACATATTGTACTTGGAATTCACTAAGAGAGTAGATCTTAAATGTTCTCGCCACCCCCCATCAACAAACACTAGT